TGGAGAGAAGGATGGGGGAGGGAGAGAGAGAGAGAGAGGGAGGGGGGAGGGATAAGGAGAGGGAAGAGAGAGCCCAAACAGGTGGGGCCCCACGACTATGACTGGGCTGAGGCAAGTGCCCCTTTTGCATCAAGTTAAAGATTCCCTTGCAAACTCCCACCAGCCATATTCTTCCTGAACTGCATAGTGAACCACAGAGAGTGATGACATCACCGGGCATAAAATAAGATATGTAATAAGAGCGAAAAGGTTTTATTTAAAATTGTCATTAGCGGGATTATAAATGGGGGGGGAGCGGAGGCAAAATATCAGCAGATTATACTTCAGCTTAACGTATGTCAATGTTATATTTGCCTCTGTGTGTCACCATTGCTGTGTGCGGTTTGTAGGGTCTGACGCTCTTCTCTTCCACAGCCCAGCGCGATATTTTGGCAAAAACCTGACAACTGAACATTTCAAGATCCTGCACCCGGACTTCATGCGTTACCTGAGGAACAGGTGAGTCCAGCCCGGGACCGACCAATGGGGGGTGGGGTGGGTGGTTCTTACCTTGCATGGAGGTGGCCATTGTGGGCTGTGTAAGATGATAATCCAGCCCGTTGGAGAGATTTCCTCTTACTTCCTGCTGTCTCTCCAGAACAGGAAGTAAAGGAAAATATTCTTAAAGGGACACAAAGAGAAAAGAAAACCAAAGTGTCTTTAACTCTTCCGACTCTACAAATGTTGGCTTTAGATCTGCCTTCAATGACCCCCAACAATGCAGATACAACAATTGGCATTCAGAAGCCAGTGGCAGGAAATGTTTTGCCGGAATTCTGTCATTCACAGAAACTGTCGCAGACCAAAAGGCGCCATTCGCACAACAAAGCTGTCCGGATGCTTAGGAAGAGGAGAGCAATAAACTACAAATGCACAAAAGCCCCCAGTGATCAGTCTGCTGCAGGCAGGAGGAAGCATTTCCTCAGTCTCTCCTACTCTAGTGATCAGTTTGCAGGGTTATATACAGAGGAGGATGGAGGGTGTGCAGAGTGCTCACTATGTACGGGGGAGGGTGTGCCCCATATGTACATGGGAGGGTGGAGGATGTACAGAGTGCTCCCTACAGTATGTACAGGGGAGGGTGTACAGAGTGCTCCCCATGAACGAGGGGAGGGTGGATGGTGTGCAGAGTGCTTCCTATGTACAGTGGACGATGTGTGGAGTGCTCCCTACCGTATGTATAATGGAGGGTGGAGGGTGTGCGGAGTGTTCCCTATGCATAATGGAGGGTGGAGGGTGTGCAGAGTGCTCCCTAAGTACGGGGAAGATGAAGTAAACACAGAAGAGTAATTTGTTCTATTTGATCCCGGGTTCTGGATTCTTGCCTGGAAATGGATTTGGCCTTCACTTCACTTTTTTACAGCCGGGTGTCTAACGTCTCTCTTATAATTTGTAGGTGGCTCTGTAGTCCGCCGCCTTCTGCACACAGACACACAAGAGGTTTTACAGCTGTTACTTTGTCTGCCAAAAAACAATACAGATAGATCAGTTCAACAATGTGCTTCGGGGTCTACATAGAGCTCAACTGTCCCTCATTTCAAGGGACTGTCCTTGGGGACCCTGATCCCCTTGACCCCACTCCCCCTATCCTCCCTGGGGACCCCCAATCTCCTTTAGGACCCCTGAGCCCCCTGCCCTCCTTGGAGACCCCGATCCCCCTGTCCTCCTTGGGGGACCCCAATCCCCCTGCCCTCCTTGGGGGACCCCAATCCCCCTGCCCTCTTTGGAGACCCCGATCCCCCTGCCCTCCTTGGAGACCCCGATCCCCCTGCCCTCCTTGGAGACCCCGATCCCACTGCCCTCCTTGGAGACCCCCAATCTCCCTTTCCTCCTTGGATACTCCAATCCCCCTGTCCTCCTTGGGGACCCCAATCCCTCTGTCCTCCTTGGGGACCCCCATCCCTCTGTCCTCCTTGGGGACCCCCGATCCCCTGCCCTGCTTGGGGACCCCCGATCCCTCTGTCCATCTTCTCTCCTTATGGTCTAATATACAGATATCTAACTATAGAAATGATATAGTAATCAAAAGTGTTCTTGTGCACTAAACCTTTCACGTGACCTTGAAGGCTTCTCTCAAAAGTTGGGGGTGCAGCCTCCACCTCCCCTATAAAAATTGATTTGCGGTGGATCAGCGGCTGCTCGGCATTGAGGAGGCCATAGTTGCCCCCTCCTGAATGATGTTCCATCCCAATGTGGATTTTCTAGTGCAATACTGTACCACAACCACATGCCTATTGATTGCAATGTGGCCACAATTGGGAAGCGGTACCACCTGCCAACATTTTGTTTAAAATGTGCTGTGGCCAAAAAAAAATCAAATGCCTTAATTATTGCATTTTATATTTAAAAAGCCAGCAAATAGGAAAAATGGAAGTGAAAAAAGCTTTTTGTGCTTAACATATTTTTTTTGTCTGGTCAGGTTGGGTTTATTTCACAGTACAGTGCAAGCAATGATGATCAATTACCATCATCAGCCATATACAGCCTCTAAATCGGCCAAGATCACTGGCCCCGTGTGACCGATACCAACAAATTGGGCCCTACCAACTGTTCGAAGAACTCCTAAAGTGAAGTCGGTAATTGACCTTGCATGCACTGCTCCTGTGGAAAGCCGCGACACATAGCAGCAGGTTCCGTAATGTTCAAGAAGGAGGTCGTCCCCTGCTTGACATCCTTCGTGGAATATCTGCCAGTCTAGGTCTGCCCTCAAGATATCAGACAACTGCCCAATCTGGATGTTTTTTTAGGAGACACCCCCAGTTTATAGTTCATATTGGACCAAATGTCCGTTGTTCCTCCTCGACAAGCTGGTATTTGGTGATGGTTCCCCCTCCTTTCTCGATAAGCTGGTATTTGGCAATGGTTCCCCCCTCCTTTCTCGATAAGCTGGCATTTGGCAATGGTTCCCCCTCCTTTCTCGATAGCCTAGATCTCCAGCATCACCCCAACTTATCGAGAGATTGGTCCAACATGAACTATTAATGGACAAGCGCTCATGTTTATGAACCGGCACAACCACCTCCAATATCTCTGATGGTTCTAAAATGGTCTACAGACATCAGATGTGGAAACATCAAAAGATCTTTCCTTAGATCCATAGCGTACACGTTTCCACCTATGGAAATACGTCGGCTCTATGAGAGACCTCAACTTTGGCTTGTTGTGGAGGACACAGATAACTGGCCAACTGGATCTTCCTCTGAACAACCAAACCAAGGAATTGTGGATCGGCTTATGATTGCTGCCCAATCCAGATGGTTGCAGTAGTTGATGTTACATTGGAAGTGGCCACAGATGGCTCAGTAGCTACAAGCCATACTCCCAGTTTTTGGATCATTGGTGTTTAAACTGCTTCCTGTGGTCAACAGCACTCATCGCTGCACAGGGAGAGTTGTCAGAGTGTTGGGAAGATTCTCCAAGAGTCGGTCCAGATTCTTCCCTCTTCTAGGAAGGAGACCTGACTGTCAGAGTCACCCGAGAAAAGCCCGAGATCTCCCCGTCCGTCACTCCCAAGGAAAGATCTTCCTGACCAGAGCCAGCTGGCACCTCTGGATCAGATAATAGTGTTTGAGCTCCCGGGCCCGGGGACACTGCAGAATGTGTAATTGAGAACACACCAAGAACATAACACTCCTCCAGCCAATCGAATGATTCACTTCAGATTTTATCTGTATAACGAGGGTGAAACTCAATATTAGACACATGGGCGCGCTTCACTATGTGACATCTGCTCACTGTAAGCTTCATGGCCAGAATAATCTTCACACCCAACTGGGAGATCCGAACAAATATACTGGAGACACCCAATATGCTGATATCAGAGTTGTATAGAGCACATATGGGGAGGCATTAACTTGTGAAGGGTCTGTAATAGAAGAGATCTCTGACAGTCTCATGTAATGTGCCTCCAGGCTACAACCATCTCCTGAACAATGTTCTCAGCCTCCTGTAGCACGTCCCCAGTCCCTGGCCATCTCCTGTAGCACGTCCCCAGTCCCTGACCATCTCCTGTAGCACGTACCCAGTCCCTGACCATCTCCTGTAGCACGTCCCCAGTCCCTGACCATCTCCTGTAGCACGTCCCCAGTCCCTGACCATCTCCTGTAGCACGTCCCCAGTCCCTGACCATCTCCTGTAGCACGTCCCCAGTCCCTGACCATCTCCTGTAGCACGTCCCCAATCCCTGACCATCTCCTGTAGCACGTCCCCAGTCCTTGACCATCTCCTGTAGCACGTCCCCAGTCCCTGACCATCTCCTGTAGAACGTCCCCAGTCCCTGACCATCTCCTGTAGAACGTCCCCAGTCCCTGTCCATCTCCTGCAGCACGTCCCCAGTCCCTGACCATCTCCTGTAGCACGGTCCCAGTCTCTAACCATCTCCTGTAGCACATCCGCAGTCCCTGACCATCTCCTGTAGCACATCCGCAGTCCCTGACCATCTTTTGTAGCACGTCCCCAATCCCTGACCATCTCCTGTACCCTATTTGTAGTATCTGACCATCGTCTTCCTCCTATAGCCTCCCATATACATGGAACTCGAGAGGTGGAAGATTGTCCTAATCTGGCGGATTTCCAAGAGGGATCCTTTGTAGTCAGGACTGTTTGCCACCCATCCTCCACCCAGATAATAAACACATTCCGTACGTTCATATTCAGGTCCTACAAGCAGATACAAAGGGAGCCCGGCCTGTTTTTTCAGGTGAGAGTTCAAGTCCCTTCCAGAGTTTCCTTCAGTCATAATGTCATATTTGCACTGCGGAGAACTCCCCAAAAAGTACAATGGCTTCTTGGAGCCTGACTGACACCATGTAGCAAGAGGAAATGTTCTGTATGACTGCAGAGGGAAACCTCCCCGACAGCTCGCCGATCCTTTATATACAAACTGAGTCCTGGCGGCTAACTAAAGCAAAGCGGCATATTCCAAACGCCTCAGTCAGCATCTGAGACCCCTGGGAGCCAGAGGGAAAGAACTAGGAGCCAGAGGAACACTACCGCTATGCACATGTGCCACCAGGAGGAGAGAGCAGAGTAATGAAATAGAGCAGAGGTAGTCAATCTTTGGGTCTCCAACTGTTGTGGAACTACAAGTCCCATAAGGCATTGCAAGACTGACAACCACAGGCATGAGTCCCAGAAGCAGATGCATGATGGGATTTTTAGTTTTACCACAGGTGGTAGAGCCAAAGGTTGGCTACCATTGATGTAGAGGATTCATCAATGTGCTGCTACTTCACTCTCCAATCATCAGTCTGGGGGAAGAGCAGGGCCGGTGCCTCCACTAGGCAAACAAGAGAGCTGCCTAGGGCGCAGCCAGGGCCGGACCTCTTCGCTGTCACCAACTTATGTCATATGTTGTGGCAGTCGGCGGTGTTATGGGAGCCCTTTGGTATGGGGGGCTGTTATGGGTGTTTTATAGGATTCCTGAGGTATGGGGTGTGTTATGGCAGTCCTGCGGTTATGAGGGTGATTTGCGGCAGTCCTGAAAAATTGGGTCAGCAGGGGTTATTCTAGTGTCAGAGAGCCACCTCAGCTGCTTCCCATCTGATTGGCCAACTAAGGGGGTGCTCAGCACCAGGCCCATGATGCTCTTAATCCGGCCCTGGGCGCAGCCTCGATCAGCGGCTTCCTCACAGGATTGAATGATCATCGCTGGAGACAAAGCCGTCTCCTGCAAACCTCAGCCAATCCGTAATAGGGAGAGGGGGGGTTGCAAGTAGCTGGTCTTGCTTAGGGCGCAATATAGACTAGCACCGGCCCTGGGGAAGAGGGTGTTCCTGACAAAGCTGGGAAGGTCAAGGATCTGCTTATGCTGTCTGGCAGGGGGTACCAGGATCACATGTCTGGCTGAACAAAATGGCAAGCAAATTAGCTTCCAATGTGTATTTCAATGATTAATACTTTGCTGGGGTCTCGATGTCGCAGCTCATACTCAATAAATGCGGTTCCTGTCTCTAGTCATACTTGTGTATTCATGAACAAGGGTCAAGAACAGTTTATTTCTTAACAAATTGACCCCAACATGTATGGACTCTGCTGGTGATCTGCCAGACTGTATGGGGCAAGGGGACTGGACCACCACCGAATGCCCCAAAAGACATTTCACACCCCTCCCCCCCTTCCCCAATCTGCTCCTTTATCTGAAGACAATTCCACACCACTTCCATAGAGCCAAGGCGCTCTACCTAAAAATTAGCTTCTGGGTGTGCAAGATACTCCATGATCAGTCTGGGGCGAGCCCGGCTTTGTACGAATTGTTTTGTATTGTTCCAATTACTTTCCAATGACAGATTCTGTTCCTGATCTCATTACAGGTTCCTCTGGGCCCCCATCCTAAACACGAAGAACCGCAATATATACCGACCCTCTACCGGAGCATCGATTCTTCTGGCTGCTATACACACTTGTGACCAGGTGAGGGAGCTCCTAAGACCATTCCCCCCATAAACCAATTTGTGCTAAGATCTGACCAAATTGCCCAACGAAACGCCGGTCACTCTCTGCTCCCGATCCCATCGGACTGTTGCAGGTTTTTAGAAATAAAAAGTCACATGCGCACTGCGTCAGCCTCTCTCGACCAGGGTGCCTCCTTGCCTTCCTCAGGGCCCGGTGCCTCGACATTTTTGCACAGTGCATCCCCTATGGTTCAGGCAGGTTTCTGATTATGAAGAGGGCTCCAGGTGTGAAAGGACTAATGTGAAGAGGGCTCCAGATGTGGGGGGGGGGAGCTACTGATGTGAAGAGGGCTCCAGATGTGAAGGGGGGAGCTACTGATGTGAAGAGGGCTCCAGATGTGAAGAGGGAGTCATGTGAAGGGGGCTCCAAGTGTGAGGGGGCGCTCTGATGTGAAGAGGGCTTC